TAGCCAGGATGGTCTCGATCTCCTGACCTCGTGATCTGCCCGTCTCGGCCTCCCAAAGTGCTGGGATTACAGGCTTGAGCCACCACGCCCGGCAACAAGAATTTTTAACAAATAGAATATGAATAGATTTTTCTCCCCCGCAAAATCCACCTTTTTTTTGTCTCTTTGGAAATAATTTTTTTTAATCTTTCAAGCTCTATGAATAAAACATTTTAAAGTTAACGAAAAACTGAAACTGAACTAAATGAATAAATCTTTTCAAGGCAATAAACTCAGGGAGGGGTCAGGCTGACAGAATATAGACATCTCTGGGTCAAGTGTCAAGTCGGGACACTGTATCACTTCAGAGACCCTCACAGGCCCATTCTCCTCACAGAAATACTCAATGACCATCCTCCCAGGAGACACTGTACTGTGCCCCATTGTGTGCCTGAATTTTTTTTGTTTTTTTTTGAGACAGAGTCTTGCTCTGTCACCCAGGCTGGAGTGCAGTGGCGTGATCTCCGCTCACTGCAAGCTCCACCTCCTGGGTTCACGCCATTCTCCTGCCTCAGAGTAGCTGGGACTACAGGCGCCCGCCACCACGCCTGGCTAAGTTTTTGTATTTTTAGTAGAAACGGGGTTTCACTGTGTTAGCCAGGATGGTCTCGATCTCCTGGTCTGCCCACCTCGGCCTCCCAAAGTGTTGGCATTACAGGCGTGAGCCACCGCACCTGGCCAGTGTGCCTGAATTTCTAAGCCCTTTTCTGCCTAAACTTTAACATGCTTGCAGCTCTTATACCTGGTGTTTTTCCACCCATTGCAATACTTTAGAATAAACTCTCTTTTTTTCTTTTGAGACTGAGTCTCGCTCTGTCTCAAAGGCTGGAGTGCAGTGGCACCATCTCAGCTCATTGCAACCTCCACCTCCTGGCCTCAAGCGATTCTCCTGCCTCAGCATCCCAGGTAGCTGGGATTACAGGCATGCACCGCCAGACTGGGCTAATTTTTGTATTTTTAGTAGAGACAGTGTTTCGCCACACTGGCAAGGCTGGTCTCCAACTCCTGACCTCAAGTGATGCACCCTCCTTGGCCTCCCAAAATGCTGGGATTACAGGCGTGGGTCACGTCCAGCCAACTCCCTTCTTACATAATTCTGATGACGGTGCTTTTCTGGTTCTTGCACCACCTCACTGGGGGAGGGGGGCATTCCTTGTCCTTTGAGATCGTTTTTCTCCTTTTCCAAGTCCGAGAAAATCCAGAGGGCAGGAATCATTTCTAGCTTTTTCCCTTAATACCAGCGTCTGATTGGCTGCCCAACAATATGTCTCCAAGGAACGATGAAAACTGGGGCTGGAGGAAGAAAATCCTAATGCACCAGGGACTTGTGTTTTAAACGAAGAGTATACTAGGAGACGTCTCTCAGCTCCAGGGCACCCAGATGCTACCTGGAGAGGCTCTACTCCCATATTTTAAACTGTCCTCTGGGAGGAGATGACCCAGGAGAAGGTATTCATTAGACACTCCAAGAGATCTGGCAGCTAAACAGAGGACCAAGAAAAGATATGAGGGTGGCTGAGGACATATCACCCTCTAACGTTTCCAAAGGGGAACTTCACCCCAAAGACATTCTGGTAAGATGTGCACACTCAAAAAAGATAAAACTGGGAGATGCACAAAGACTGTTTTTTTTTTTTTTTTTTTTTTTAACAATTGTCAGGTGATTATTACTGCTTTCCACTCATGTGTAACGTTCAGAAATATTTTAAGAGTGAAAACAAATATTTTCAAAACGACTCACTACTCTGAAAAAAAAAAAAACAACACTGCATTTGTAGGAAACGTACAATAAAAAACAAATACTTGATAATGTTGCATTTGAATGTAGGAAAAGAACTGGAAATTTAGGATTTTACCACAAGCCGCAGAAGAGTTAGGCTGTGGAAACACGGTCGCTGATGTGAGATCCTGCTTGCCATACACTTAGAAATGTGGAGTGTTATGTTAGAATAATTAAACACAGGTACCAGGGAGACTGAGGTGGGAGGATCGCTTCAGCCCGAGTCCGAGACTCCATCATACATATGTACATACACACATGAATGAATAACCAACCAACCAAAACGTAACTCATGCTTGTCTTGTAAATTAATAACTTAAAGGCAAACAAAACAGCCTTAAACCACCACGAACCCACCAAATAACCTCTGATGACATAACCAGGAGGTATCTGGCTGCACAGTCTATGTGGGGTGACTACACAGCTGTACACAATCAACCATTTAATTGGGTTTGCTTCTGGGTTCCTTATAAAAGCCCTTCCTTCCCCAAACCACAAACCACGCTGGGCGGCTTCCTAACTCACGACTCTCTGCTCAAATAAACCCTTTACTATTTTAACGGCGCCTCAGTTTTATTTCTAACAGGAGAAAGGAGGTTTTGGAGACTTCACCGACCACAGCTCCTCCCACGCAGGAACCCCGAACCCCAAGTCGGGACTCTCCCCTGAGGACCTCCCGTCGGCTCCGCACACTCCGAGGGGGACGCGGGTCTGCAGGCGCAGAGCTGCCCAGAGAGGTTCCGGGGCGGGCCGAGGCGGCGGGGCAGGGACAAGCCAGGCGGCCCGGGGTCCGGCTGCGGGTCCAGCCCCCCATCCTGTGCCACTAAGGCCGCGAGCCGACAGCGGAAACTCGGGGCGGCACCGCGGGGAGGTCCGGGTTCGCCACAACCGCTTCCTGCCGGTTCCCGCTTCCCCCTCGAGACACTGGCGGGGACACTCACCATTTCCCACTCTCCGGTGTCTCGGGTCTTCCCTAAGGCCCTTCCAGGACCTGCAGGTCCCAGAGCCACAGAGGCTGCCGCGGAACCACTTGGACCTCCCAGGGATAAGGGGAAGGAGCGGCGGAGACACACCGAGCTCGCCAGAGTCTCGCTGCCCAACACAAAAGCCCCGCCAGGGCCCGGAAGTTGCCCCCTCCTTTCGCCGTGCGCTTGAGAGAACAGTCCCCTTCCCAGCGCCCGATTGGACAGGGCTTTAGGCCCCGCCCCTTCAGCCCTGAGTGACCGGAGCTGCCATCAGACAAGGCGCGGAGTGAGACCCGTTCTTTCCGTGCAGTCCTTTTCCAAGGCACGGATTCTGCCCGGTGCTGAGACCTGGCGCCCCCTGGGGGACTTTCCCATTCAACCTTGTACACAAGGTTATGTCCGTTTATGAGTAGTAGTTGTGATATTTATGACTGGAAACACTATGATGACAATTATTCTAAAATTTCAGATTTCACAACCTTCCTGGCCTCTGATCTTTTGAGGAGGCATCCTGAATTTTTTTTTTCTTGTTTCTAGTGGGATTAGAGGCAGCTTGAATTTTGAAAAGAGAACGTCCTCTCAGGTAGCAATGCCCAATAGAAATAAAATGTGAGCCACGTGTGTTCTAGTAGCAATAGAAAAGAAAAAAACGTGAAATTGATTACAATGATTTATTTAACCAAATATAGCAAAAAATATTGTTTCAATCTATGATCGATGTTAAGCTCGCGCCTAATTGAAGAGACTACCCAAACAGGTTAAGTGTGAGCAACAAGGCTAGTTTATTCACTCGGGTGCGAGCGGGCTGAGTCCGAAAAGAGGGTCAGCGGAGGGTCGTGGGATTGGAGTTAGTTTTATAGGTGAGGGGTCAGCAATGGAAAGTTACAGTTCGGGGCCGTTTATTGCGGGCAGGGGAAGAATGTCACAAGGTACATTGTCACAAGAGGGAGGGGTCACAGTGTCACTAGGCTGATTGATCGGTTAGGGTAGTGCACGTCACAATGGTAGAATGCTGCGAGGTTGGCTAATCAGTTAAGACAGAAACTAGCCGTTTTTCTTCCTTTGTGGTTTTCCTGTTGTCCCAGACTTTCTGGCTCCGGAGACCTTCTGGATGTATACATGTGGGTCATAGGGGTCACAATGGCTTGACCATGGCGCAGCCTGCTCAGAGGACCTTACAATCGATATAATATTATTATTATAATTTTTTTTTTTTTTTTTTTTTGAGACGGAGTCTCGCTCTGTTGCCCAGGCTGGAGTGCAGTGGCCGGATCTCTGCTCACTGCAAGCTCCGCCTCCCGGGTTCACGCCATTCTCCTGCCTCAGCCTCCGAGTAGCTGGGACTACAGGCGCCCGCCACCT